AGAGAGACAGCATTTCGTGGATAGTGCGTGGTATTATAATGGACATATATATGTGTTAGACTTACAGGGGAATCAACACAGGATGGATGTGACAGATGATATTGACAAAAAACTTCTTGGAAGATAAATATATTATAAACAGGAGGAGCTCGGAGGACAAGGGTGACATTTGCCTAAAGGCGAGGTATGCCTAAAACATGTAAAAAGTTATTATCTTCTTGTAGTTTTCTATGTTTGAGTGTGTGTGTGTATGTTTGTGTGTGCACTTTCCATTAATAGATGTAATTAATCAGAATAATAGTTTATCTGAGTTCTCAATGTCTTTCAAATATATCATTTTTTTTTCTTGATTTAGAATGTAGGGACTAACTGGTTACACATGTCAAAGGTTGTGAGCATAAATATTTTAAGTATGAATGTTAGAGGATTTTCATAGAATTGTCAAAAACGTAGGGATGTATTTAACTGGGTAAGAAAAAGAATGTTTAATAAGAATGCAAACTTTTTATGACATGTGATGTGACAACTAAAATGACCAACAAAGTAGAAATGTTAGGTATATTGAGTATGAATGTAAGAGGTTTCTCTTCTTACAGCCAAAAACGTCGGGATGTGTTTAATTGGGTTAGAAAAAAAAATATCTCTATTGTTTGTTTTCAAGAAACACATAGTACTCATGAGACTTCAAGGTTATGGGAATCAGAGTGGGGCTACAAATATTTTAGTAGTTATACAAGCAGCTCAGCTGGTGTCGCAATACTTTTCAAAAATAACTTTGAATTAGATATCCATTCAGTTAAATGTGACTCTTCAGGTAGATATATCATAATGGATATTTCAGCAAATAATTTGAGATTTACTTTGGTAAATTTGTATGGTCCAAATAATGATAATCCAGAATTTTTTCAAAATATTTATGAAGAAATTACAAAATTAGAAAACATGTCAATCCTCATGTGTGGGGATTGGAATGTGGTCCAAAATAAAGAACTTGACACTTTCAATGTTAAAAATCTTAATAATCCAAAGGCAAATGAAGTAATAAAGAATATAAAGAGCGAACTTGAAATTTATGATCCATGGAGAATCTGGAATGAAGAAGTTAGACAATACACATGGAGAAGATCAAATCCAGTTATTCAAAGTAGAATTGACTACTTTCTTGTTTCTGATTGTATTTTTAGTAGAGTATTAGATACCAAAGTAATCCTAGGGTATAGAACAGATCATTCAGCAATTGTATTAAAATTCAAAACAAATGACAGTAATAGAGGAAGAGGTTATTGGAAATTTAATTGTCAATTATTACCTGAAAAGGACTTTAGAGAAACAGTAACCCAATGTATTTCAGAAACAAGTACAGAATATATGATATCAGGAGATATTGAACAAAGGGAGAGTATTCAATTTAGTATAAGTAATCAATTTTTCTGGGAAGTTTGAAAATGAAAATCAGATCCTTAACAATAGAATATTCTTCCATAAGGTCCAAAAAACAAAAACTAGAGAGGAAAAAATTAGAAAAAGAAATCTTAGATTTGGAAGAAAAAGTCAATATTTCAGGAAAAGAAGAAGATATTTTGATACTTGAAGAAAAAAAAACAAACTTTACAAAATTCTAGGTCGAACTATATAGAGGGTTTAATGTTACGCCCAAAAGCTACGTGGTATGAAATGGGTGAAAAAAATTCTGAATACTTTTGTAAATTAGAAAGAAGAAACTATGTAAATAAAACAATATCTGAATTAATTAACTCAGATGGTAATCATATTGCAGACCAGTCTGCCATTCTTGAACAAAGGTTTTTTTCTCAAACTTGTACAAAAGTAAAAAGGATAATAATAATAATGACACATTTTTGTGTGAAAATATCTTTTTACAACATAATGTCAAATTATCGGATGAACAAAGGGAAATTTTGAAGGTTTTTTGAACTTCAAGTGCAACTTTAAAAAATGTAAAAACAAAAAATCCCCAGGATCGGATGGGTTTACAGTGGAATTTTACAAGTTTTTCTGGAAAGATATAGGTATTTTTGTTTTGAAATCTTTAAATGAAGGGTATATAACTGGAAAACTTTCACAGTTTCAATCTCAGGGGGTAATTACATGCATTCCAAAAGAGGAAAAGGATAGAAAGTATATGAAAAATTGGAGACCTATTTCATTGTTAAATGTAGATTACAAAATTGGGTCTAGTACCATAGCAAATCGCATCAAGAATGTATTGTCCAGTATTATAAGTGATACCCAAAAAGGTTTTATAAAAGGGCGTTTCATAGGTGAAAACACCAGGTTTTTATACGACTTAATAGATTACCTTAAAGATAAAAAAACAATTTGGTTTGCTCCTTTTATTAGATTTTGAAAAAGGTTTTGATTCTTTAGAATGGGATTTTATTGTTAAAGCATTAAAGTCTTTTAATTTTGGAGATTCATTAGTTAAATGGTTTAAAACCTTTTACTCAACCAGCACAAGTTGTGTGATAAATAATGGTAGCTTATCCTCCTTTTTTAATCTTGAACGTGGATGTAGACAGGGAGACCCTTTGGCACCATACATTTTTATCATTACTGTAGAACTACTTGCAATCTCACTGAAGAATAATGAACACATAAAAGGTATATCGATTAATGGGAAAGAAAATAAACTAGGACAATATGCAGATGACTCATTTTTAACATTAGATGGAAGTGAAAAGTCTTGGAGAGAATCAATGAAAATAATCGAAAAATTTGGTAATGCCTCTGGTTTGAAGCTTAATATTTCAAAATCTCAAGCAGTATGGTTGGGAAGCAAGGCAGGATCAAATCTATGTGATGACTTAAAAATTAATTGGAGTGCTGATACCTTTAAGCTCTTAGGAATAATTTTCACAAAAAAGTTAGAAAATATTGTTTCTGTCAATTATCGACCCAAAATAAATTCTATCAAAAAATTGCTTGCATCCTGGGCAAAAAGAGATTTGACCCCAATAGGAAAGATAACAGTCATTAAAACCCTTGTTATTCCAAAATTTGTACACTTATTCTCAGCTCTTCCAAATCCATCAAAGGAATTACTTAATGAGATCAATAAAATTTTATTTCAATTCATTTGGGCATATAAGGTGGAAAAAGTAAAAAGAAATACATTGATAGGAAAAATTGAAGAAGGTGGACTAAACATGATCCATTTATCTTCCTTTATTTCATATATAAAACTTAAATGGGTCAAGAGAGTCCTTACAGTCAACAGTGGAGCATGGCAGCAATTATTCTCCTGTATTTTTAATCAAAAAAATTTTAACTTTGTTTTATATTTAACCAAAGAAAAACTCTCAGAATTTTTGAATTATATAGGCAATGATTTTTGGAAAGATGTTATAAAAGCTCTTATAATTATTAAAAAAGATTCTTTGAGTGCTACAGATTATTTATATACTGATATTAGAAATTTTGTTGATATCAAAAAATGTAGTTTTTACAAGACTTGGGTGGAAAAAGGTATTAAAGTATTGAAAGACTTGTAGTCGGATGATGGAAAATTTAGGTGTTTTAATGATGTTAAAAAAATAGTTGGTACTAATAATTTTTTAAATTATCTTAATATTGTATCAAGAGTACCAGCAAGAGTAAAAAGGGAAGTAACTATTTATATGACAGAAAGAGGCAATCAACTTGCAGCACCAGAGAAATGTGTTATACAAAAAATGATGTCTGTGACAAGTATAAAATTTCTGTATAAAATTATAAAAGATAAGAATTTTGTGGCACCAGAATCCAAAAAGTTAAAATGGGAGATTTATTTAAATGAACCTATTACAGAAAAACACTGGGAATTTTTTCTGCGGAATGCTTCAATTTGCACAAAGGACACCAAAATAATTTACTTTCAATATAGAATTCTTATGGGCTTCCTTGCCACCAATTCTTTTCTTCACAAGATAAAAATTGCTGAAAATAATCTTTGCTCGTTCTGTAAAACAGATCCAGAAACATTGATTCATCTTTTTTATGAGTGTAAACATGTAGCTATTTTTGGGAAAAATTTTGAAAATTGGTATCAAGCATTTGAAAATGATTATGTAATTTCAAAACAAAAGGTGATGCTGGGTAATATTGAAGGAAGTTGTTTAGAAAATTTTCTCATCTTGTTAGGAAAAAAGTATTTGTATTACTCAAGAACTCGATGTACTATACCTAAATTTACAGAAGCTGTTAACATTTTTAAGTATTACAGGAAAATTGAAAAATATTGTGAGAGCAATTTTCATTGTAGAACTAAAATGTATAGTAAATGGGCAATGTTTGATTTGATTTGTCATACATAATTCCAATTATTACTTAAGGTGTAATTATGAAATCTGGTATTTTGGGAAAGGTGCACAGAGTGCGTGTGGTGTGTGAGGGTGTGTGAGGGTATTTTGTTTTCTTTTGTAAGTATAAACATTTTCAAAAATAAAGCTTTAAAAAAAAAAAAAATCGATATTCAAAAGTCAGACAAGCGTCTTATTCACGTTGAATAAGCGACAGCATGTTACGAAATTATTTAGGGCTACCAGCCCTAAAAAGAAAGACTGAAGACAACAAAACAAGCAAAGAAAAAAACAAAGTCTATGATGAAACAAAACGAAAACGAAAATTCGTCCCCTCCTGGAAACAGGAATTTGATTGGATTGTATGCGATGATAACAGAAACATTATTTATTGTAAAGTGTGTCGCTCTACATACGGACAACTTAGCAATAAAAAAGTAAGTGAACGATTGAACAAGTACTCGAAGGGTCCCTTTGTCACAGGCTGTTCAAACTTACGTCATGACGGTCTGGTCAATCATGAGCACTCAGAGGGTCACAAATATGCTTGCGAGATAAGCAAAAATAAGAGTGCATCTACAAGTGCAGCTGAAAAAACATTGCAGTCCCTAAACAAAAGTGTGTTTGATAAACTTGAAAAGTTATTCAGGAACAGTCATGCAATAGCAAAAGCATGCAGACCTCTGTCAGATTTTTACATGGATGGCAAGTCTTGATGAGAAAAAGGGCATTGACGTCGGTCAGACATACAGAAATGTAAATAGTTGTAAAGAGTTTCTTGTATCAATAGCTGCTGTTGAACGTAAGAAAATAGAACATAATCTGAGAGATGCAAAATTTTGCACAATTATGTCAGATGGATCAACGGATGTGTCAGTGATTGAAAATGAAATTGTATATGTTCACTTTGCATTGAAGGGGAAAATTCACTGCTATTTTCTTGGGCTTATTGAGTGTGAGCATGCTAATGCTGAAGGAATTTTCGATGCAATTTTCAAAGCTGTGGATTTTGAAGATATACCCAAGAGTGAAATGTATAACAAAATAATTGCTTTTGCTGGTGATGGAGCAAGTGTCAACACAGGTGAAATAAATGGTGTGATTTCACATTTCAGGCGCAACATCAACTCCAATATACTCATGATTAAATGTGTGTCTCACAGAATTGAACTGGCATTTAAGGATGCAATGAAGTCATCAACACTCTATAACAAGATTTTTGACATGCTTGGTCAGTTGTTTAAATTCTATCATAATAGTCCAAAACAAATGGCAGGACTCAAAAGTGCTGCTGAAGCTTGTAAAAAATCACTGCGACATCCAACACGAGTAGGTGGAACACGATGGGTTGGACATGTCTTGACTGCATTAAAAAACTTGCTGATTGGCTACAAAGTTTTTATCACTCATCTAGAACAAGTAAGTAAATAGTCTATTTAAAATTATGAGCCAATTTTCCTATTACTTCTCCAGTAAATTAATATTTATTTCATTTAATAAGTTATCTTACTGAATGTATAAACTGAACCATTTTTTAATGAATATTTTTAGTGTCTATTCTGTCATATCAAATTTAAAAAAATATATATATATAAATGATTGATGTGTATGAACTGAATGAAAGTTGTAACTTGTAAGTTCTGTTTACGTCAAATAATAGCCTGTTTTCCAAACAGGTTGCTAGTGTTAGATCTCAATCCAGTGCTCAGTCCAAAGCCAAGTTCTTCTTGAAACTTCTAAAGTCAAAGGATGTCATTACATTTGCACACTTCCTCATTGATGTCTTGACAGTTATTTCCAGTATGTCCATGGCTCTTCAGAAAAGAGGAACATGTGTGTATGAAGTTCACAGACAGCTTGAGCTCACAGCAACTAATCTACGGAAGCTAGAAACTAGGTATCTTGAAAGTTGTAATTGTACTTTGTAGTCAATGTACTGCACGTTAACAATCTATATCTAATAACATTAACCCATCACTGCTTTGTATCATGTATATGCTGCTATGCATCACATAATCCACATTTAGATTATTAGCTGCATGCTACATTCTTTCCATATAAATTACCAATAACATAATTAATCTAAGAATATTAATCTCCTTTCTTGTAATAGCTTGTATGATGTGGTTGTGGTTTGCTTGCTTTGCTTGTAGTTTATTTAGTGAATATGTTAACTTACAGACCAGGATTAGAATTACGTAAAATAATGGACTGTGACGAGTTTCATGGAGTGTCATTCAGTCAATTGACTGGTGACACATCAACATCACAGATGCCTAAAGTGATTTCAGCTTTGATTGTTTGCATACAGAAAAGATTTTCTGATATTGATGCGGGGATTTTCAAATGTACAACAGTTGTTCAACTTGATAGCTGGCCCTCTGATTACCAGGAAGCAACTGGTTGGTGTAGAGAGTTTATAAAAAAGTGTCTCATTTTCAGTATTCAATTTTACTCCTTTTCAATAAAAAAAGGTCAAGATGCCCAACATGTGTTGTTTAAAAATAATTAAGCTAATAAGTCTTAACTTTTTTTTCTTTATGGTTCAAATGCAGTAATTAAGAACACAAATAATTTCAGAGTTTGGAGATGAAGCAGTTTCAGCAGTTTTAGACTATTACCATGACAACCTTGCTGCACAGAATATTGAAACTTCCCTTGTTGAGATTGAATGGACTCAGCTTAAGCATTTGTTGTGTGAAAAGTAAGCATCTATCTTTTTTAAGCAATACGTAGTCATATTATACTACATTGTCACATGTCTACAAGAAACTTATTATAAAAAACACATGCAAGTGATAATGTATTATTTTCTAATTTTAAGTCACACAGTTAAGGAAATGGATTGGATAAAGATTAATGAACTCTATCATAGTCAATGCTCCAATATTCTTGCTGTGTTTGATTTGATGCTCTCATTGCCTGCTGGAACATCCGAGTGTGAACGAGGCTTCTCTCAAATGGCTATAGTCAAGTCTAAGTACAGGAATAGACTGCATTCAACAACCATGACACTGCTGATGACTGTAGATCTTCACTAGGCAGAAATAGGTGAATTTGATCCATATCCAGCTATTCACTACTGGAATCAAAATGGATCAAGAAGACCCGAGTTCCTTAAGCACAAAGGAAGGAGCAAGTCCAGTATGTAGATTATAGAGTAGATTTTTTAGCTTTAGAGTCATTTATTTTTTAAATCAATGGTTTAAATACTACAAAAGACTTTGATATAAACATTTTAAATAGAACATTTCACAAAAACTTTCTGTTTAAGGAACAGACATTGTTGAGGTAATGCAGCAAGAAATCCAAATGGCAGAGGAGGAAGAAGAAATCAGTGAAGCTGCTGAAGTACCCTCAGGAAGTACCAGGAAAGAAGAATCACCAAATGACTCGGACTATGATTCAAATTTTTCAGATTTAGACTCTGAGTCTGACAGTGATGTAGAATAGGCCAAAAGATAAAAAATAAACATGTGTCAACTATTTTCTCAGGGCTTGTTGATCTTTAACAGGGCTGACAACTTTTACAAGCTGTCAGCCCTGGATGTCTAGCTAATTTTCTGACGAGTTTAAAACACTGGGGAAAAGGCATTGGAAAGTTGATAGTGACTGGAATCGTGTTATTTTTTCTGATGAAAGTAAGGTGATTATTGGAGAAAATAATCGTGTATATGTGTGGCGGAGACCCGGAGAGGAGTGGATGCCGCAATGCATTAGCCCCGGTCGTGGCGCAAAGGTTAGTCTAATGATTTGGGGGTGTATCTGCTGGAATGGACCAGGTACTCTGACAGTTTTCAATGGCAATATCAATGCTGAAAAGTACAGGGAAATAATTGATAATGAACTGTGGCCAGTTGTAGCCCAGCATTTTCCACAGAATGACTTTATTTTTCAAGACGACAATGCGCCAGTGCATCGCGCAAGGATTGTGCTAAATTACAAAACTGAAAATAATATTCGAGGAATGCTGTGGCATGCCCAATCTCCGGATGCTAACATAATTGAAAACTGTTGGCTTTTTTTGAAAAATCAGCTTAGAAAATGTGCAAACAGAATTACCAACGCAGCGGATCTAGAACAAGAAATTCGGAGAATATGGACCACCATCCCAATTCATTATATACGGAACCTTTACAGATCACTTCCACAACGAATGGTCAAGATTATAAGATCAAAGGGGTATGCCACAAAATATTAGGTAAGTTTCATTTATACAAATCTGTTTATAATGCAGAAATCGTTTTTTTTATATACCGGATCCGTATGTTGCTAATAACGCGACGACGCCATTTTGTTTATAATATTATGATCTGCCGCTGTAGCTTCTATAGATAATTGCCTCATGTCAACGCTGAAACGAATCAATGATCAAAAAGATGATTAAACTCTTTGTAGCAGAGCCCAGTCGTAATATGGTCAAAAAGAAAATGAACTACCTAAATTTGCAGTGGACTACAGGAAACGAAGGAATTTTTTTTTTTAAAGTTTCAGTCTACCTGACTAACCGTATGTTTTCGCGCCCGAAGTGGGTTTTTTTTTCTTTCCAGATTTGGGGAAAAAATAACGTGATTTTTCCGAAATTTAATCGTTCAGTTACCGTTACCGGTTTCTGTATTAAAACAAATCAAATACTTGACATTTGCCATCGGCAAAAGTATAATGTCGGTCATATTAGAAATGTGGCGCTAGAAGAAGTCTTTAATTACATGTACATCTGTTTTTCTGTACCACAGCATTTAGTGATTTTTGCTGGATTTCAGAATCAAGCAACAAAAACAATGAATGTTGCCGACAGTCACAGTTGTGGAAGCCTTCCATAGTACCTGATCCCACCTCGGATGTTTTGGAGGTCCGTGTTTGCTCCGCTATCTTTTCTTGTTTTATGGACTTTTGATCTTGAATACTGTTCGTTCCCTACCAAAACTGTGAAATTCATGGCCCCAGGGTCAGGGATTCTAGTGCTAGAGCTGGACTATATAGATTATTTTGTGAAAATGCATTATTTCTTTGAACTTGAAATCTTCTCTGTACCTGGGCATTAAAGCGGCACAGTGAGTCAAAATCATATCTTAATTTTAAGATATCTGTAGCATACAGAGAAAGACTTACGAAAATTATGAGTATATAGCGAATATATGACAATTAAACTGCAAGAATTGACTGCACAATATAAGTGCCGGAAAAACAAAGGTTGTATCTACCGTTTCGTTGTTTCGTATATGTCAAGGTCACGCTACTCTTATTTTTAGCTCAAACTTGTTAAAAAAAATTCAACTGGAGCATGCAAAGGTGAGAAATATGTTCTAACAACTTTTTAAAAAGATTACATCAACTTTTTTGGTCTACTTATATTCATTGGTGGATACCTGAGACCATGGTAACTATGGAAACTTATTCAACACTTTTCTGCGCACGCGTATAATAGGGAGGAAGAAGTACCAGGGTATTTTGCAATATTTCCGTTCTGGGGCAGACAGAAATTATTTTTACTTTTATTTTTCCCCATAAAAATTTAATTTTTAGGTTCTGACACCTGTAATTTTCTGAAACCTAATACTTTAAGGAATTGAACAAAATTTACAGAGGTCATGCGAAAATTCTACATTTGTCAATTTTCCCCTTTGTGCGTCACTGTGCCACTTTAAATAAACTACCCAAGTACATAGTTATGCAGAATAAGACTGCCTCTCTTCCCAAATTGTGAATTTCATGATCCCAGGATTAGGGGTTCTGGTGTTATGGCCGGGCCCTATTGATTATATAGTGAAAATACATTCTTTAAAAATCTTCTCTGCTCCTGGGTAATAAATAAACTTATCAAGTACATAGTTATGTTGAATAAGACTGCCTCTTCCAAAATTGTGAATTCCATGGCCCCTGGGTAAGGGGTACTGGTGTTTCAGCAGAGATCTATTTATAATATAGTGAAAATACATTTATTCTTTTAAAATCTTCTCTGCTGCTGTGTATCAAACAAACTTATCAAGTACACGGTTATGTTGAATCAGGCTGCCTCTTCTAAATTGTGAATTTTATTTTTTTTTGCTTATGAATGGCCCCAGTGGACACCCAATATGGGTAAAACAGGGGTTCTTGTGTTACAATAATGATTACTCTTTATATTTAAGGTAAATTGATTACATAATGAAAATGCATATATTTTTAAATCTAATAAAATCAGCTCTCTTTGTCAGAAAAAAAAATCCACCCGCTTCTAATTAATTTTTTTTTTTAATCAAAGAACTAAAATGCATAAATTATTTAACAATCCTCTCTGCTTCTAATTAATAATCAAAGAACTATATGACATAGTTAAAATGAGGAACGAGATGCTTCTTCCCAATACTAGTATGTGAATTTCAGGGATACTGGTGTTAGGGTGAGGCTTTAATGATAATATAGTGAAAATGCTTGAATTCTTTGAAAATCCTTTCCTTTGCCACTGAATATTATGCCAATGATCTAAATACATATTTATGATGAAGACAAGTCCCTCTTCCAAAGTGATTTATTTCAGGGCCCCTCGGTCAGGGGTACTTAGTCTGAAAGAAGGATATGGAGATAACGAACAGTATTCGATCTCAAAAGTCCATTAAACAATACAAAATAAGAGTAGAGCAAACACGAACCTCCGAAACATCAGAGGTGGGATCAGGTGCCATGGAGGAGTGAGCATCCCCTGCTGACCGGTCACACCTGCCGGGTGCTCCTAGTCATGATCAGGAAATAATGGAAAAATCCGTCGTCAATTCAGTGTATAAATAATGGACTAACAATTGATATGAAAAACGACAGTCAGCATTTGACTCGATGATAAATTGTATTTGCTGACAAGGTCATTGTATCGACCATAGAACTTACGAAATGATGACTTTAAATGAGACTGTTGATATTCTTGTTTCATCAACTTGCTTGTCAATAAATTACCTCGTTTTAGATATTGTTCATACGTAGAGCATGCTCTTGCGTATCGAATCAACTGAGATATATACACTCCGTTTGCAGGTGATGAAGGAATATTGCTGCATAAGTAAGGGAAGTTGACGATAGAAAAGTTAAAGTCGTCACTTTTATCATATAGCTTGGTTGTTAGGTTACCATTAAGGACTTTTTCAAGTGAAATATCCAAGTATGAAACAGATGTGTCAGACTCTGTCGTGTCTTTAATCTCAAGCTCTCCTGGATATATCGTATCGACGTAGGAATGGAAATTACCTTTGTTTATTGACAATACGTCAATCGATATATCTGAAAGTCGAGTTGAAGGCCACAGCAAGTGTTTTCTTCTTTTCATGCATAAGATTTTGCATAAATTGTGCTTCATATGAATACAAAAGTAGGTCTGCTAATAACGGAGCGCAATTGGTACCCATGGGAATTCCAATAGATTGTTGGGAGACCTTGTCTCCAAAAACCACATAGATATTGTCAATCAGAAACTCAAGCATCTTCTTGATGTCAACTTCAGAGTACTTGTGTGTGCAATCAGAATCTGTTTTAACAAAATAATTTTGTAAATGACCAATGACCAGGTAAGTAAATTTACGAGTTCCATTTTTATTGAAGCAGCTATCAATGACATCAAAAAGCCTGGATTTTAATTTGTCGTGGGGAATTGTGTATAATGTTGAAAAGTTGTAAGTTTTAAAGCTGTTGATTTTTTGTAAAATCTTGTGATTTCAAATTGTCCAAAAGTTCTTTAGAAATTTTTAGTATCCACATCTGATTCACACAACTTCTTGAATATATAGTTGCATAGTACTCTTGAAGTTTTTCCCTCACTACTGTCAATATCTTAGGAGTAACGAAAGAGGCTTGGTTGAACATTTACTGGAACCCAATATATATAAGGTAGTTCAAATTCATTTTGGCTCTGTGGAAATAAATTAATGCTTTGAAATTTGCTCTTTGGTATTAATCAGATATTTATGCTGAAATATTATTTATGATAAAATTTCCTAATTTTTGAAATGTGTTGCCCCAGGGTTAGTGGCTCCTGTGGGTAGGGGTACACAACTGGTTATAAAGTAGAAATTTA